ACCCACACCCACCCACACACACACAGCGACAGCAGTCCAGTCTTGAACCAAAAACCTTTTGGTGCTCATCAATGTATGCAGTCAGTGCAGCATAAATGTGGGACAGTCATGGGGCCATTGATATCTAACATGTCATGAAAAAGCAACAATCACAGTCTATACAACCAACCTATGAACTTCCAGTTGATCAACCAATCCTTTTGCACAATCCTCGAAATCTGAGCGCTCACACAATGACAGCAACCAGTCTTGAGCCAGACACAATTTGGTGTTCGTTCAGGCATGCTCCGCATGTGGTACACAGTCAGGTCGACCTATGTGGCATGTAACACAATGCCCTGAGTCAGACCTCCAATCATGATTCACATTTCAACTCAGCAAGGTCAACATCATTCTTTCAGATGTTGACTAACCATTCCCAAATATTCGGGGCTGCGAGCGAGGTTACACATTCATGCTGTCTGGCACTCGATTTAAGGGCTAAGTCCAAGTTCTTTCTCCGTGCCTACAGCTTTTTCTGAGAAATGGCTTCTGGACCAGACTCATGCTCGTCTGCCTGGCCTCCATACCCCTGCTTTTGCACTGCAGGGCCCAGAGCCAAGGCCGCTTTTTCGCAGCGCCTCACCAACACAGTGGCATGTCCTCCTGCAACGCACCCAGAAGCCCTCAGACTTGGGGGTCTGATGGGAGGTTTGAGAGCCAAAAATTGACACCAAATGTCAAGCACAACGTGAATCCATACAAGCGGGTGTTCAAGCTTTCTCTCAATGAGCAGACAGTATGTGAAAACTACATCTCAATGTTTTGTCTGCACTTCAGCAGAGGGTCACGGCAAGCTGGCTGCAGTCTGCAGATCCCAGCGCAAACCTCTCTGGCTAGATCGTTGAGGGCAGCAAGCGCCTTGACCTGCCTTGACGCGTCTTCGACTGGCAGCAGCTTAATGCCGGCATGCACAAGCCGACCACCAGCGCTGATCTCTGCCCCTCAAAAGCAGAGATTTCTAAGACTCTAAGAGGTGTGTGGAGCGGGGAGGAGAGCAAAGGAAAAGGAAGGGAGGAATAGTCATGGAATAGAAGCATGTTGATGTAATCAAGAGCTGAGGAGATGAGCTTAAGATCTGTGCAGTTGCACGGGTTGCACGGGTTGCACGTGTCTGGTGCCGTCTGCACGCGGAGAGTTGAAAGCTCTGGGAAGAGGTCTCTCCGGCATGCCCGCACATGCCCGCACATGCCCGCAGTGAAGAGACACCTCTGAGAGACACCTTGGGATTCTACATGCTTCCTACTACATCCCTACATCCTTCCGCCTTTCTGCATTAAACTTCGGAAAGATGCAGCTCTCAGGATCCAAAACTGAAGCCGCCTGGCACCAGTTGGCACCAGTAGGCACCAGTACAAGGTGGCGTCTAAAAGTAGAAAGACAGCACAAGCTGAGTGCGCACCTGTTGGCACCTGCGCGCCAAACTGGAACTGCTGAGGATTTGAGACCTCGACCCAGCGCAAAAAGCAGGCATTTCGGAGAATTCCCCGGTCCCGACGGCGTGTCCCAACTGCCATGGTAGCTTCGCAGCACTCTTCACACTGACACCAAGGATGCTGTTGCATCCGGCAAAGCTCCCAGCATCCTCACCGATGTCCGCATCATCATCCTGCAGGCCGAAACATGTTCCTTACTGCTGCCACGGCTGCCACTGCTCTCCTCTCACTTGCTCTCACTTGCTCTCACTCACCTCCAACGGAAAATACTTCTCCAAGATCTTCATGGCTTTTTGGTACCTGACATCAGAATCACAGAGGAAGGCAGAGAGATAAGTCAGTCCTTAAACCACTCAGAGGGTACACTTCCTCATTGGGATCTTCCTGAAGATTTTCGATTTTGGGCAAGCCATCAGCCTGCACCGAAGCCAACAGTTCGCAGTAAAGCAACAAGCAGCAGCCGCATGAGTAGCAGTTCTTCAGGCAAAGCTGGCAGCATCATTAAGTGGAAATCTGCACAACATGGGTTGCTCGCGAGATAGGCTCCTTGTGGAAAATCCCGACTAAGGCTTCGGACTGTGAAGGCTTGAGCACTGCAAAGTCCTGAGATCTGTAAGTTGAACCTCAGCATTAATAGGAAAGCGCACGAGCCACAATGTACTGAACAACTCTCGAAAACACGCAGGAAACAGGCTCTCACGGGGCAATAAGCACTGAGCACAAGAAAAAAAAAGTGCTGAAAACAACGGAGAACGAGAGATGCATGATCTCCGCAGTCGAAGTAGGAAGGGGTAAAAGAAGCAAGGGAACCCGTGGTGGTGGTGGTGGTGGTGGTGGTGGTGGTGGTGGTGGTGGTGGTGGTGGTGCTGGTGGTGCTGGTGGTAGGGCCTTGTCGCTGGGGTGGGGCTGATGGTGCGTTTTTCTTGAAGCCACGCGCATTTTTGTGCTCATTTGAGGATTTCTTTGGGGTGCGGCTGGCTTAGTAGTTGGGTGTTCGTGTTCCTCGAAAATATGCGTTTTATGGTGGTTTGGTGCGCATTTCACGTTTTTTTAGGGGGGGAGCTGTTTTTTGAGATCTAGTTGTTAGATTTTGGCATACATGGGTGTCAGGGTTTTATCATCGTCCCATTAGCCCAAGGCACGCCCCATTAGTCCAGGGTACCGCCAACTAGTCCAAGGGTTTGCGCAGTTCTGATTTCATTTCATCATCGCCCCATTAGTCCCGGGCACGCACCATTAGTCCAAGGGTTTGAGGAGTTGTGATTGTGATTTTAATTCTTTAATTGCCCCATGGCGGAAAAAACAAACAAAACAAAAAGAAAAGAAAGAAGCAACAACAACAAAGAACTTGTTTTGCCGCCCTGGCAGCAGGCGTGTGAGGCGTGTCTGTAATGCGGAACATGCTGCGCCTGGCAAAGATTGTCAATGCGGATGCAGAAATAGCAGTAGCAGTAGCAGTAGCAGTAGCAGTAGCAGTAGCAGTAGCAGTAGTAGTAGTAGTAGTAGTAGTCGTCGTAGTAGTAGCAGCAGTAACAATAGCGTAGCAGTAGCGTAGCAGTAGCGTAGCAGTAGCGTAGCAGTAGCGTAGCAGTAGCGTAGCACTAGCGTAGCAGTAGCATAGCAGTAGCGTAGCAGTAGCGTCGCAATAGCAGTAGAAGAAGTAATAGTAGTTGTTGTTGTTGTTCTTGGTGTTCTTGTTGTTCTTGTTGTTGTTGTTGTTCTTCTTGTTGTTGTTGTTCTTGTTGTTGTTGTTGTTCTTCTTCTTCTTCTTGTTCTTGTTCTTGTTGTTCTTGTTGTTCTTGTTGTAGAAGAGAACGACTTAAAAATCACGGCATATCGGTATCTCGAAAGTCTGCCAGCAACCAAGTGCACTGTAGAAACCAACCTTGCCATCTTCTTGCGGTCTTCAAGAACAATCGCCAAAATCCCGCCACCTAATTCGAAGAGGACAATTGGGGGAAAATGCCGTCTGTAGACAGGAAATGCTGTAAACTAGCTTTAAGGGTATATCGTTTTTCTTGCGCCGGTCCGGGTCCGGGTCCGGATCCGGTCGGGTCCGGGACCGGATCCGGTCGGCTCCGGGTCCGGCCGGGTCCAGGTCCGGGTCCGGGTCCGCGGGTGGGTGTGGATCCAGTTCCGGATCCGGGGGTCCGGATCCGGGTCCGGGTCCGGTCCGGGTCCGAATCCGGGCCCGGTCCGGGGACCAACTAAGACGAGTTGGATGCTCTGGTCACGGCATGCTTTTGGAACACGAACGGAAGTATGCTTTGGGCATGGATGCTCTTGTCACCGTATGCTCTTGGAACACGAACGGAATTATGCGTTGGGCATGGATGCTCTGGTCACCGCATGCTCTTGGAACACGAACGGAATTATGGTTTGGGCATGGATGCTCTGGTCACCGTATGCACGGTATGGTTTGGCCATGGACGAAGTCCAAATACATATATTGTTTACATCAG